CCTCATGTGGAGTACAAGAAGTAGCCTGATTCCCCCACACTGCCTCATGTGGAGTACAAGAAGTAGCCTGATTCCCCCACACTGCCTCATGTGGAGTACAAGAAGTAGCCTGATTCCCCCACACTGCCTCACATCTGTGGAGTACAAGAAGTAGCCTGATTCCCCCACACTGCCTCATGTGGAGTACAAGAAGTAGCCTGATTCCCCCACACTGCCTCACATCTGTGGAGTACAAGAAGTAGCCTGATTCCCCCACACTGCCTCACATCTGTGGACGGCCAGAAGTAGCCTGATTCCCCCACGCTGCTCACATATGTGGACGGCCAGAAGTAGATCTAGCTCAATTCGGCAGCACTCTTCGCAATTTTTTATGATTGAAAAAAATATTTTCTGCTGGGATGTTGTATGCCTCTCCACGTGGGTTGTTCAGGGCAGGCTCGGAAGCCCGCCTCCTAAAAGATCTGAATTATGTCGATGGTGGTAGGCTTAAAAACAACTACATTAAAAAAACTTCTACAAAGAGTTTTCAACTCTCGGCATCCTAACAATGTCCTGTAGCGCTGTTGCGGTTTTGAGGAAATGAATACTTCCTACTATTTATGCTGTTGAAGATCGAATGTTTTTTTTCTTCTTCCGCTGTTGAATATTTCACTACCTCAGGAGTACCAATCTCTGTGTGCTCAGTACCTAGTGGAGAGACATTTGACGTCAAAGACTTTGAGTGTCACATCATGTCAAGCTTTGCAGTTCTTTGAATAGCTTGATAATGACTCGGAACAATCTTACGATGTTGGATAGAGGAGATCGAATAGTTGGTGTCTGGTGATCTCTTGTTCTTTGTAACTCAAAACGGCCAAAAGTGTCCTATAGAACGTTGTGATTCTGAGGTACACGACGTAGCGCTTACTATAATTACTCAATTACTAGTATACTACTGACAGCAGCAGTCACTGAGCTTGCAGTGTACAATATACTGATGTCATGCTGCCCTTAACAACGCTTCCAATGTTGAATAGGGGAAGAAGGGGAGCTCATTGAAACAGCTAATTACATGGGGAAAGAACATTCACTGCTCTTTAAGAGTCTATCTAGATCTAATTCCCTTGCTTTGGCTAACCATGGTGTGACTAGCAAATAGGCCTCATCATCATCATCCAGTGCCAGATCTGCGACAGACATCGCCTTTGAATAATCTATGAAGCATAAATACAGATCTTTCTGTGCTTCAATACATCTTTCCATTAACATTGTTCAGGTGAATATAGCATTTCTGGTGCCCTTGTCAGTTTCTTCTCTCTTCCATTAGTTTTAATATGACCTGGGTTGACCTGGGTCATCCTTTTTATTTTTTATCAGCTTTTTTAGCTCTCGGGG